TGTTTGCGCTGCAAACGTATTTATGTTGTGTGTTTCTGTTATCATTATCATGTGCACGTATCAGTGCGTTCCACAGTTGCAGCCTTCGTCGGCTGATGCTTATCAGGCATTCGTGTGCGACCGGCCAGCTGTGGAACAATTATCAATGTTTTCATTATATTTGGTTTTGGTTATGTTAAAAACTTTAAGTTGTGTTTCGAGTAGTCATGCTTTCAGTGTCATAAAGTTCACAATTTTTTTGTTATCGGTTATTGTTTTAGTGTGGTGACACTGAAAGGCCGTTCGTTTTTGTGTTGCTCTATTGTGCCTCCAGGACATCGTGCGGGGCCTTTTACTTCACTTTTGGTGCTCCGTGCCGAACGGTTCAATTGTTTTCATAATTGTCTCGTCATGTTTGTGATGAGCTGTTTGCAGTCGTCCAAAACCACGTTGTTGTGAATTTGTGTTTAAGTTTCTGGTAATTATCGTTCTCAGCAATTTGTATTGCCATCACTAATTTGTTTCTGTACAGGATGGTCAAAATTACCAAAGATTTGTGTTGATAATCAACGTGTTTTGGTGTACCTCATTGCTCGTGGGAACAGTAGTGCGAACACTAGAAATCCTGTTCCGGCTGCATTCAATGTATTATTGTTATTGAAGTCATCGTCAACAGTTGCTGGCACACATCCGAACGTACGCAGGGTCAATTTGTCTTTATTGTAATTTAGTGATATACTTACAGGCCCTGGTGCGGTAACGTGGGTGTAAAACCAGGTGTGTGTCTCAACTGTTATGTGAGTATTGGTCGACCAGATATGTGTGTGTATGACCGACGGGTCTTAAAGTAGTAAACATCTCATTATTATGTACTGTTAGTCATTAATGCATATTATTTATTAATTGTATTCCATTGTATATTACAGCCGTACAGGCCTGATTCAATCATATGTTATTATTTTTATTATTATCATTATTATAGCCAAAGAGGCAAATGAAATTATACTTTATACTGTTACTATTATTATTATTATTATTATCATTACTGTGCCAAATGGCAATTAAAAATTTATTATAAAATACAGTCCACATTTTTATTTACAACGACAAGGCTGTTCAATATCATTTTGTTCACCTTAAGCGTTATCATTTTGGTCCTTCGAGCCGGATAGGCTAAGTGAATTAGTAATCAGTATAAAATATAAATTTCATTAATTTGTATAATCATTTTTTTATATTTTTTTTTATTGTTAAATAAGCACACTGTGCATCATTCCCAATATTGTAATTTAGGCCACAATCATGGATATCAAAAAGGCGACTTTAGAGTTGAAGGTTATTCATTCCAGTTTAAAGGCGATGAGCACATTTGCCAAGAACTTCAATAGTGAAACAAACAATCAAAGCCAAGTTAGAGTACGCTTAGAGGAGCTTCCAAGTATATCAGAAAAATTTGAAGAAGTGCAGTCAGTAAAAGAAGAACTTGATCAAAGGTCAGATGAGGTAGTAATGGATGAACGAGCAAAATTTAGAGAGAGATTTTATGAAGTCAAGGCATCATTATTACATATATTGGAAGTTGAAGAATCCAAAAAATCAGAAGTGACCAGTCCATCCTACAGCATCACATCCAGTCATGTAAACAACAATATGATGAAATTACCACCTATTGAACTCCCTAAGTTTAGTGGTGATTGGAAAGAATGGACATCATTCATAGACTCGTTCAATGTTTACTTCCACAACAACAAAGATATGGCACCGGTTCATAAATTGCATTTTCTTAAGGCTTGTTTAGAAGGGCAGGCCAGTGACATTGTCAAATCTATACCAACTACAAATGAGAACTATGGGCAGGCCTATGATGCAGTAACAGCAAGATATGAAAACAAAGGAGCAATTATTCAATCACATATTAGAGCATTATTTGATACTCCTAAAATTTCAATAGCTTCAGTAATAGAGTTGCAAAGACTTTATCATCACATTACTTCAAATATAAATGCATTACAGGCTTTAGGTCAACCGATCGAAGCCTGGGACGCTTGGTTAGTCACATTAATATGCAACCGAATGGATAGAGTAACCGTCGGTGAATGGCACGTTAAATATAACAAGAAAGACCTACCAGAGTTCAAAGAAATAAAAGAATTTTTATTCAACCGTATTGCTGCCTATGAAGCAGGTGAAGTTAACGTTGGTGCATCATGTATTAAACAGAATGTGGTCAAGTCCAGTAATAAAGTTCAAGAAAAAAAGGTTTTTTTTGTTAAACCTGCGAACAAGGTAACCACATTGTACAAATGTCCCTTTTGCAATGAAACTCATAGATTATATCAATGCAAAGGTTTTAATGATTTGAAAGTACCAGATCGCCGAGAATTTGTTTCAAAGAATCGGTTATGTTACAACTGTCTATACTCTAATCATCAAGCACAAGACTGCAGGTTCCCAGGTTGTCCAAGATGTGGTCAAAAACATAATTCAAAATTGCATTTGGTTCAAGCTCATGAAAATCAACAAACTAGTAGTGAAACGGAGCCCATTGCAAGCACAAGTGCTCTATGTTTTAGTAAGGGTATAGCACAATCAATGCATGCGTCAGGTGACATGGTCATGTTGGCCACAGCCGTGGTATACATTAAAGATGCAGCTGGCTATCCTCAACCCTGTAGAGCACTACTGGACTCAGGATCACAAGTTAATTTTATAACTGATGCCTGTGCCCAATTTCTTGGAATGTCTAAAACAAAATGTGTTCTACCAATAGTTGGTATCAACTCAATGAGGTCAGATGCACAGAGATTGCAACCAGTTGTAATGTATTCCAGGTTTGAAAATTTCAACGTTTCACTAGACCTTCATGTACTTCCTTCAATCGCCAATGATATGCCATCTCAATTAATACGTTTAGATCAGTCAAAGATTCCGGACATTGTTAATGAACAATTGGCAGATCCAAGCTATGATACACCAGGCAAGATAGATATACTACTTGGCGCAGAAATGTTTTACACACTTTTCAGTGGAGAAAAAGTTGCCATTACAAATAGTTTAGTGTTTCACAAAACCACACTTGGATGGGTTCTTACTGGAAGGGTATTAAATAGTGAAGTTATACAGTCTAGGTTTTCTGCTTGTACTTGTGCTAATGATGCAACCATAAACTCAGCGCTTTCACTATTTATCAGTAAATCAAGTGTTCGTAAAGATGAAGAAGATGAAGCTGAACAGCATTTTAAGAAGACACATTACAGAGATGAGTCAGGACGATTAGTTGTTAGCCTCCCATTAAATACTAAGCTCAGTTCGCTTGGTGAATCTAAACACATGGCGCAACAACGATTCTTTAACTTGGAAAAACGGTTATCTAAAGACAGAGAACTATGCGTAGCCTACCACAAGTTTATGTCAGAGTACTTAGACATGAACCACATGGAACTGGTAACTAATGATGATTCAAATAGTCAAACATACTATTTGCCTCACCATGCTGTCATCAAAGAAGACAGCATCACCACAAAATTAAGAGTTGTGTTCGATGGATCAGCTCCATCAAGTTCCGGGCTATCCCTTAATGATGTCATGTTAAAGGGACCTATAGTGCAATCTTCCTTGTTCTCAATACTGTTACGATTCAGAGTGCATAAGATAGCATTAACCGCAGACGTTGAGAAGATGTACCGTCAAATACTAGTAACTCCAAAAGACTGTCAACTACAACGAATTTGGTATCGTCCAAGTCCCTCTGAACTGTTAAGGGAATATAACGTTCGGACAATCACGTACGGTACAAAATCAGCTCCCAATTTAGCGACCCGTAGCCTGGTGGAAGTAGCTTTTTCAGCTCCAAATGAAGCTGCTCAAAGAGCTATAAAAGATGATTTCTATGTAGACGACCTACTTACTGGTGCTGAATCTTCAGACGAATGTTTCCAGCTATACAAAGATGTTTCAGACACGTTGGCGTCTCGTTGTCTACCGTTAAGAAAATGGTGTACAAGTTCTTCCGAAGTCCTGAGTAAATTACCAAATTCTGGGACCGATCCTAATCATGTTTTACAATTTAGTGAACAGGATGCTGTCAGTACGTTAGGTATAATGTGGCAACCCATAACAGATTGTTTTTGCTTTACATTAAAGCCATGGAATCCACCCAAAAAAATGACTAAGCGCACATTGCTTTCTGACATTAATAGGATTTACGATCCACTTGGTTTCCTAACACCAGTTCTTATAACTGGAAAGATCTTTGTTCAACAGTTATGGGTGTTGAAGATTGATTGGGACACGACATTACCCGACGATATGCAACATCGGTGGAAAAACTTCTATTTATCTTTGTATGCGTTGGATAAATTAGCCATTCCACGTCGGCCATTGTCAAGTAATTGGTTAAACATACAGCTTCATGGATTTTGTGACGCCTCACAGGAGGCGTACGGAGCATGTGTTTACGCAAGAACACAGAATTCAAATGGAGATGTTGAAACAGCTCTATACGTTTCAAAATCAAGGGTAGCACCACTTCATGCGACCACTATACCCCGGTTAGAACTCTGTGGTGCTGTACTACTCAGTGATTTAACTACAGAAGTCATTTCTGAATTAAAAAAATTGAATATAAGCCTACATCAACGCGACGTTGTACTGTGGTCAGATTCAACAGATTCAACAGATTCAACGGTTGTCATCCTCTGGATAAATAGTACACAGCCACTTAAGTCATATGTATCAAATAGAATTGCTCAAATTTTAGACCACACTGATAAAACACAATGGAATCATGTGCCCACAGATTGTAATCCAGCTGATCTTATAACACGTGGACAAACAGTTAACAATTTACAACAGTGTTCAATGTGGTGGAGTGGTCCACACTGGCTCTCAAAGCACCACACTTCATGGCCTACACGTACTCAGCCAATCTTAAATGAGGTTCCTGAAGTACGACCTGTTAAATTGGTGCTTCAGGCATCTGCTCAGCCAGTAGATGATTATCCGCTCAGCAAGTTTTCTAAATGGAACCATATGGTACGCGTTACAGCGTACATGTTGCGTTTCATATCCAACGCGGCAACGCAAAGGAAAGAAAGAACCAAACACCTAACTGTCAAACAGGTGTACTCACTGTAAATGAATTACAAAATGCTAGGAATGTGTGGCTTCGTTACGCCCAGCATAATGCATTCAGATCTGAATTAAATTCCTTGACAAAGTCCAGTTCTGTAGGTTCCAATAGCCCACTGAAGAGGCTCAATCCATTCATTGACACTGTTGGACTCATACGTGTTGGTGGTAGATTGGATTATCTTGTAGCATCAGAAGAAAGAAGGCACCCTGTTGTACTTCCGTCGAAGGGTAAAATTGTGAAAATGATATTTGAACAAATGCACTTGGAACTTCTACATATTGGGCCTCAGGGTCTACTTGCAAACATCCAATTGGTATATTGGCCTCTTCGTGGACGCAACTTGTCACGGTCCACATACCACAACTGCAATATTTGTTTCCGTGCGAGACCTAGCATGTTACACCCTAAGATGGCACCTATTCCGCGAAGCAGGATATCTGTTCAAAGAGCATTCTCTCGTACAGGCGTTGACTTCTGCGGGCCAATATTTATAAAAAGTGGAATAAGGCGAGTCAAGTCCATCAAAGGTTACATTGCCGTGTTTGTATGTTTCAGCACTCGTGCAGTACATTTAGAGCTAGTTTCAGGGTTATCATCAGATGCCTTTATAGCAGCTCTTACCCGGTTCATTGCGCGACGAGGTCCATGTCTTCATTTACACAGTGACAACGGAACCAATTTCATTGGCGCAAATCGGGAGTTATCCTCGTACTTCAAAGCAGAATCTGGAAAGCAAACCGTAATCGAAAACATGACACAACGTGGAGTGACTTGGCATTTCAACCCTCCGTCTGCGCCACATTTTGGTGGCATCTGGGAGGCAGCAGTCAAATCAGCAAAGGCCCACTTAATTAAGCTGACAAACAATGTGCTACTGACATTTGAAGAGACCACCACGTTGCTCTGCCGCATTGAAGCCATTTTAAACTCAAGACCATTAACTCCGTTAGCAAATGATCCCTCAGACTACGAGGCCCTGACACCTGGGCACTTTCTTGTAGGAGGTCCCATACTATTGCCGCCTGAGCCAGACTCAACCTCAATATCTCAGAATAAATTGACTCGATTTGCCCTTGTTCGTGCTCAAATGCAACGGTTTTGGAAGCGATGGAGCCAAGAATACCTGCCACAAATCCAGAAAAGAAATAAATGGCTAAAACCCCAAAGAAATCTAGTTGTGGGTGATCTGGTTATTGTAAAAGAGGAAAACTTACCTCCACTACATTGGAAGTTAGGTCGTGTCTTGACTGTTCATCCCGGAAAGGATGATGTGGTGCGTGCTGTCACCATCCGAATGGGAAACGGACATGAATATAAACGTCCTGTAGCCAAGCTTGCCCTACTACCAACAGTCAAGGATGAAGAGGAAGAAGAACATAAACTACAACTACAATCATAGTGTCATCTCAAGTCATTTATTATTATCATTTGTATTTATTGTTTAAGACAGTTTGTCTAGCCGCCTACGGCTCAAGTCATTTATTATTATCATTTGTATTTATTGTTTAAGACAGTTTGTCTAGCCGCCTAAGGCTCAAGTCATTTATTATTATCATTTGTATTTATTGTTTAAGACAGTTTGTCTAGCCGCCTACGGCTCAAGTCATTTATTGTTATCATTTGTATTTATTGTCAAAGACAGTGTGTCTAGCCGCCTAAGGCTCAAATCATTTAGTATTATCATTATGTAATTGTTATTTATGTTTATAGTCAAAGACAGTGTGTCTAGCCATCTAAGGTTCGAATCAAATAGTATTATCATCATGTTAGTCGCTTTCTCTGTATTCCACTCATAGATCAAGTATGTTTATTGTCGTTAAGGTTATTGATGTGCTACTGTGATCTTATCTGTTTATGCATACGTAATGTTCAAATATCATGTCTTAGGGAAATCAGCATCATCATTAATCATGTCTAATGAGCTTTGAAAGGACCACATCCTTTCAAAGGGGGGAATATGTTTGCGCTGCAAACGAATTTATGTTGTGTGTTTCTGTTATTATTTTCATGTGCACGTATCAGTGCGTTCCACAGTTGCAGCCTTCGTCGGCTGATGCTTATCAGGCATTCGTGTGCGACCGGCCAGCTGTGGAACAATTATCAATGTTTTCATTATATTTGGTTATGTTAAAAACTTTAAGTTGTGTTTCGAGTAGTCATGCTTTCAGTGTCATAAAGTTCACAATTTTTTTGTTATCGGTTATTGTTTTAGTGTGGTGACACTGAAAGGCCGTTCGTTTTTGTGTTGCTCTATTGTGCCTCCAGGACATCGTGCGGGGCCTTTTACTTCACTTTTGGTGCTCCGTGCCGAACGGTTCAATTGTTTTCATAATTGTCTCGTCATGTTTGTGATGAGCTGTTTGCAGTCGTCCAAAACCACGTTGTTGTGAATTTGTGTTTAAGTTTCTGGTAATTATCGTTCTCAGCAATTTGTATTGCCATCACTAATTTGTTTCTGTACAGGATGGTCAAAATTACCAAAGATTTGTGTTGTGAATCAACGTGTTTTGATGTACCTCATTGCTCGTGGGAACAGTAGTGCGAACACTAGAAATCCTGTTCCGGCTGCATTCAATGTATTATTGTTATTGAAGTCATCGTCAACAGTTGCTGGCACACATCCAAACGTACGCAGGGTCAATTTGTCTTTATTGTAATTTAGTGATATACTTACAGGCCCTGGTGCGGTAACGTGGGTGTAAAACCAGGTGTGTGTCTCAACTGTTATGTGAGTATTGGTAAACCAGATATGTGTGTGTATGACCGACGGGTCTTAAAGTAGTAAACATCTCATTATTATGTACTGTTAGTCATTAATGCATATTATTTATTAATTGTATTCCATTGTATATTACAGCCGTTCAGGCCTGATTCAATCATATGTTATTATTTTTATTATTATCATTATTATAGCCAAAGAGGCAAATGAAATTATACTTTATACTGTTACTATTATTATTATTATTATCATTACTGTGCCAAATGGCAATTAAAAATTTATTATAAAATACAGTCCACATTTTTATTTACAACGACAAGGCTGTTCAATATCATTTTGTTCACCTTAAGCGTTATCAATATTATTTCGCAATTTTTAGTGCTATTGAATAATTATAGCACATATTTTGATGTTTTTAAGTGCATATTATTGCACACTAAAATTTACTTTTTTTAGTGTTATAATCACTGCAGTAGCGTACGCAGGATTTTAGTTCGGTTAAGGTTTTACATGAGTAAATAATTTACATTATTTTTTTTTCTAAGCATTTTTTAAACAACTAATAATAGTAAGTCTCAAATTTAGTTTACATTGTCAATGTAAATTTGTGGGGAATCTTCTACCAAAATGTCTTATGTAATGTATGAAGGGAAAAACTTTTTTGCATTTCTAGTTGGAAAATTTTCGAAATGTTGATGAATATTGTCAAAATTTGTACTTAATTTAAACTTTGGTTAATACAATTTAGCATTAAAATGTCAAGATTTCTTACCAAGTGAATAGGTTTTAATTTAGAATAATATAAAAAAATGTACAAAATTCGAAAAATATCTCAAGGATAAATCAGTTCTAAAGTATTCAAATTTTTCGAAAATGATACATTCGAAAATCATAAAATAAAAATTTAGTAAAAATTTCAAGGGTCTATGGTTATTAAATTTTTAGTTAAATACCAAAGTAAATAACACCAACAAATTAAAATTGATTTTCTTAAAAAATTAAAACTTTTTTCACTTTTGTTTTTGTTGAAGTTTTAACTCCTAAAAGTTCAAACTATATTATTCTCTTTTCTATCAGAAAAATGCTGATCTCAAAAATGTGAGAATTTTTACTACCTTAAATGTTGTTGGTACATATTATCATTATAAAATCAATACATCCACTGAGAATCTAACATCGATATATTGATGGATTATTATTTAAATCAATAATAAATTAAATTAAATTAAAACAATTTAAACGAAAACATATTCGACAGAAAAAAAAAGAAAAATTGTTACAGCCTAAAGTAATATAATCAACAAACCTGGACAAAAGAAATGTACAACTCATTCCCATTACGAACATTTTGATTATTATTCATTTTAAAATATGGATTTAAAGTTTTCATATATTTTTTATGTCATAATATTAAAAAATTACATTGACAATTATAAAAAGCTGTTTGAAGTATTATTACAAAAACAAAACGAAATACCAATAATAACAAAATTAATTACAATATAAAATAAACAACCTGTAAAGTAAATGGTGGAATCCATTCTATATATATACAACATTTATATTTAACAATATTTTACATATTTTTATATTTAAAGAAATACATATTAATATATTACATACTAATAATTTTAACATTTTAATTTAAAAATGTTAGACAAAAACAAATTTTACACTGAAAAATTTCAAAAAATTATTAGTCATAGGTAGGTATATATAAATAAGATTGAGTTTTTCAGATACGTATTTGGTATACAAAGTTTTAAATTATTTATTTATTCAATTTTTTAAAATTTGATTAATTATCTTACAATAATTTATTTACTGTTACGCATATTCTAATCCCACTTAAAAATTATAATACAACTCACATAACCAATTGATTGATACGTTACTACGTTAGTACCTATGACAGTCGTAGCCAGCAAGAATATTTATTTTGATGAGCTTGGGTTTTCTCCTTTAGAAACCCCCGATAAATTCTTGAATCTAGGACATCCATTCTTCAGTGCATACTCACGACAGTCCTTGTTTCCAAATTCCACAGAATCAAAACTTGCACTGTGTACGTCCCATTCACATCCATTCTCATGAGCATACTTAAGACAGTTCAGGTGACCATTTTTCGCAGCCAGAGAACACGTTTTTTCGTTCCACTGGCATCCATTTTCATGTGCGTAATTTAGACATTCAAGATGACCCCCCTCCGCAGCATTAGAACACGTTTTTTTGATCCACGGACATCCATTCTCATGAGCATACTTAAGACAGTTCAGGTGACCATTTTTCGCAGCCAGAGAACACGTTTTTTCGTCCCACCGACATCCATTTTCATGTGCGTACTTTAGACATTCCAGATGACCCCCCTCCGCCGCATTAGAACACGTTTTTTTGCTCCACGGACATCCATTCTCATGAGCATACTTAAGACAGTTCAGGTGACCATTTTTCGCAGCCAGAAAACACGTTTTTTCGTCCCACTGACATCCATTTTCATGTGCGTACTTTAGACATTCCAGATGACCCTCCTCCGCAGCATCAGTACACGTTTTTTTGTTCCACGGACATCCATTCTCATGAGCAAACTTAAGACAGGCTAGGTGCCCATTATCTGCAGCATAAGAACACGTGTGTTGTTCCCAGGAGCATCCATTTTCAAACGCATACCTTAGACAATCTAAATGTCCACCAAATGCAGCAGCAGCACACGTTTTAACATCCCACCAGAATCCATTTTCATGGGCATACGTTAGACACTCTAGATGCCCACCCTTTGCAGCAGCCCAACACACGTGTTCGCTCAATGAAGCTTCTTCGTATTCATGCGCGTACATAAGGCAGTTCAAGTGTCCACCTCTTGCAGCATTATAACACGTGCGTTCGTCCCGTGGGAAATTATTTTCATACGCATAAATAAGACAGTCTAGATTTCCTCTAAACGCAGCCAAAAGACAAGTATCATAGTCCCGTGGGAATCCATTTTCATGGGCATATTTCAGACAGTCTAGGTGGCCGAACTCCGCAGCAGAAGAACACGTGCTTGAGTTCCATGCACATCCATTTTCATGTGAATACCTCAAACACTCCAAGTGTCCGTTTCTGGCAGCTGACTGACACGTCCAACTGTTCCAGGGACTACCGTTCTCATGCGCGTATATCATGCATTCTAAGTTGCCCGTGCGAGCAGCCTGGTCGCACGCCGATCCATGAGTGTAATAGTAGTATGGGGAAGACCAGGGAACTCCAATCTCGCGAGCCAACTTCAAACAATCTATGTGCCCGTAATACGCTGACTTCTCGCAAATGATTTCGATTAAAGAGTCATCAATGATAGGTTTCACCTTGTCAAACATGGATCGCCTGTCACCGAGCAAGTCGAACGCACCACTCTCCGTGTTCAGTTTTATGATTTGAAATAGCAACTGGCAACAAATCTGCAAGTCAACGTCTGGAATATCCAGCTCGTCGTACATTTCCCGCTGAATCTGGTTACACGCATGGTAAGCCGATTTCAGCAGACTGGGTAAGGCGTAAGTTACCTCGCCTTGAGCAGTCATCGTGGACGTTTTCCCAAACAGTGAACACTAGAAGTGGGCTGATCGGGCAAACTGTAAATATAAAATATGAACATTTAAATCCCTCTATAACGATTGTCAATAGACAATGGGAAAATTAAAATA